TTTTCCAATTATTCAGTTGATCTAATAAAAGATATCACATCTACTCAAAAAACCTTGCCTACATAATTAAGAGTTGCACAGAATTACACTGGTAAATGTAACGGGAAATTTAGGATGGTAAATTGGAAATTTAGTTCAGTGTTTCTAATGGGATGTTTTCCATGCTTCCTAACCAGTGTCCAATATTAGGCCTGTGCAAATAGGGAATTATTTGATTTGGATTTGGCCGATTCAGAGGACAGCGATTCAATTTGGAGATTCGGATCACTGTTCCAAACTGATTCAGCTGAATTGGCTTTGGAAGATTCAGCGCCGATACAGAGAGATTCGGAGATTCGGCCATAGAGTATAATGGGGAATCACTGAAATACCTATAACTTTGTCATTTTTTGGCTGATTCAGATACAAAATGCAGGGATGGTATCCCTTTCTGAGGGCATGAAGCCTGCCAATTTTCAAGGGGGTAGGTTTAGGGGTTTCTGGGAACCTGCACCTCAAGCTACTGACAAGCAGAACTCGTGACATGGGTAACACTGTGTGTGTGTTAAGACACAGGGGGGTGAAAACTGCAGGCATGCTAGGCTCTGCTGCAGCCATGAAGCCTGCCAGCTTTCAAGGAGATAGGTGCAGGGGGTTCTGGGACACTGCACCTTAGGCTGCTGACAAGCAAAACTCATGACATGGGTGGGTGGCACTGTGTGTGTGTTAAGGTGCTCCCTCATTGGCATTGGGGTATCTACACAACATGGTAGTGTGCCTCAGTGAGTCCTCCTTCTCCCCTACAATCTCATTCCGGTCCACCACTTTACATGACATCAGGTATAAAATAACTTAGTGAGCAGTAGCACCAGCAGCATCTCAGGCAGCCAAACTGTGACAGAGCCCTTCTTTCCTTTCCTGCAGGAGCTTCTTCTCCAGTGTGTGTGTTAAGGCGCGCCCTCACTGTGTAACTCTGTGTGTGTGTATGTGTGTGTGTGTGTGTGTGTTAAGGTGTGCCCTCACTGGTGCTGGGGCCTCTACACAACATGGTAGCATGCCCCAGTTATGTCTCCTCCCCCACTACAACCTCAGCCCAGTCTACCACTTTAAATAACAACAGGCGAGCACTGCAGTGCACTGCAGCACAGTAGCACCAGCAGCATCTCAGGCACCCAAACTGTTGCAGACTAGAGCCATTTCTTCCTCTCCTGCAGGAGCTTCTTCTCCAGCAGCTGCCAGAGAACTCTCCCTGTCAGCCCCAGTCCTGGGGCTTGGATGTGCCCACTGCCCAGGGTCCTGCGTCCTTCCAGTCAGCTGACCAGGGACAGGTCCTAGGAGCCTTGGTCTAAGGAGGTGGCACTGGCAGATAAGGTCCTTTGGGTCAATCTGGTATCTTTTAGTAAAACAACTAAATAGTTAGAGAAAGCCAGGACAGTGAATGGTTGTGTTTTGATTTTATGGAGGGGTTTTCCTTGATTGTCCAATGGGGCTAAGTGGCTTATGGTTACTGAAATTAGAATTTTTATAAAAGAATTGAATGGAAGAAATAGAGATGTTGTGTTGAATATATAAATGATGTGTTACTTGTGCTGTGTGATGGGTTATGTTGTGTTTTTATGTTTATATTAAAAACAAACAAACAAATAGAGAAATATATCTTAGCAAGCTTTCAGGTTGAAAAACCGTCTGTCAGGCTGAGGAAGCACCTGCAGTTTGTGTTGTTCCTGGATGGAAGGAATAGTAAAGAACCCAGAGGCTGGCATGCAATGCAGGCAAGAAAGCCAGTCAGTGAAAATGGAAATGGAGGCATCAGGGGGTGAGGGACAGGTTGGGATGGGGGTGGGGGTGGAAAGAGGGATGTAGCAGTACAGGTAAAAGTGCAGAGGTACCTGTGGAATCAGATGTCTGGCAGGTTATAGTGTGTCAGAATTCCACTGTCTATATTGAATCCATGAGTTTCTGTACCTACTACGTAGGAGGCTGATGAAATGAAGTTCATAGGTCTGGCTCTGAAAAGTGGTGCAGACGGAGTAAGGAGGGTGGCACTAACTCCATCTGCAGGTGGAGCTTGGGTAATCCCAGCAATGGGAGGTTCACCTTCAAGAACACCAGTTGCTCCAATGAACCAGGTTCCAAGCAGCTGTGGTGGGGTGTCACAACATCCCCAGCAATGCTGAACACCCTCTCACTCAAAACACTGGTTGGGGGAGAGGATGGGTGTTTGTGGGCAACCGTGGCCAGATCCTACCACGTCTGGCTGCGGCTTGCCCAGTAGGCAAAGGGGTTGTAGTCCAGTGGATCCAAGTCCTCGGTGAGATAGGTAGCCACTGAAGCCTTGGCACTACTTGCCCAAGGCTGGGGTCTGGTATGTCTGGATCCCAGCATTGAAGCCATACCCTTGGCCTACATTGTCAGCGGCTGGTGTGGAGGAGACTGGCTAGTGCTGGTGCTGGGAGTGCTGGCACAAGAAAGTGGATCCCCCTCTTCCACATCCCCTTGCCTCTGCCGTTCTGTCTTCCTGACTCTCTTCACCACCACCTCTATCCACTGATCAAGGTTTGGCTGCCGCATATGCTCCCCTTCACCCTCGGTCACACATGGCGGCCAGCATGTGGACCGTACTGGACTGCAAGGGATCAAGCCATTTCCTGATGCCCTCCTTCAGCTGCCTCACCAGTGCCTGCACGTCTGGTGACAGCGGCTTGCCCCTAGCCAGGAGCATTGATCCCCTGGAACTTCTCCATTTGGTTCTCAAGTTCCCTCACTACAGGGATCACCTGGCTAAGGAAGGCATTGCCAGCACTGAGGGTCTCAGTGGCCTTGAGGATGAGCTTGAGGACCACCAAGATCTGGGAAATGGTATCCCACTCAGCTCTGTTAAGGGGGCTGCTGATCCCAATTTCCCCAAGGAAGGCCATTTCATAGATGGCCTTCTGTTGCTCCACCATCCTTTCCAGCATCAGGTATGAGGAGTTCCACTGAGTCTCCACATCCTGCATGATTTTGTGTTGTGGGATGCTCAGCTCTGCCTGTTTGTTCCACAGCATCTTGACCTCCTTGGTGCTCCAGTGGAAGTAGCATCTGTGTTAATTTGACTTCTTCTGTGTAGTTTTTAGTCTGTATGTAACTATAACTAATAATATTAATAACTATATATAATATCTTCTTTTGTGAATGTCTGACTTCTTCTGTGTTGTAATAATATCTGACTTCTTCTATGATATATGTGTGTAAGTATGTGTAATGTGTGCTTCCCTGCACAGTGATGGATCACACTGCCAGGGAAAACACAGCTTTCTTTTTTAAAAGTTTTGGGGGAAAAAACCCAAGAAGAAATATAAATTGAAAGAAATGGATTGGATAGGGATAAGTAAAGGGATTCTAGTTAGTAAGCTAAGCTATATCCAGTCCTTCCCAAAAGCAAGAAGTAGCAAAAGACTGACTGGGAAGCCAAGCCAGTCCAGTACCTTTCAGATGCTGTTGCTCAGGCAGAAACAGCTCACAAAAGGCACAGAAAGCCTGCAGACAGAGGCTTATAGGCTGTTTCTGCCCCTCCCCCTGAGCTCTGTGATTGGAAGGGGACTCAAGGAAAGATCACAATCACTGGCCAACTACTGATGTCAGTCCTTCCCCTCCTCCCCCTGCTCCCCCTTCCTCTTCTCAGTTTCTGTTCCCCTGAAAGACCACCTCCAAATCTCCAAATCTTTTCTGAATCAATTGAGAGGCTCTGAGTTGATTCAGAAGTTTTTTTGCTTCTACCCAATTCAATTCGAATTCAGAGATTCGGCCTCCAAATCGGGCTGAATCTTCTCCGAATCGAATCACAGACCAAAGCTTCACACAGCCCTGTCCAATATGTCCCAATATGTCTTTAGAATCCTCAGTATCTAACAAAGAGGAGGCAGCATCTGTATCTGGTTGAAGTTCCCATACAACAGCCCCTTGGCTAAACAAAAGAAATGAGAAAGGGGAAAGTTGCCTACATCTGGCTGCTGTGAAAGGAGATTTCTCCTTAGTGAAAGCTCTTATAGCATCTGGAATATGTACAAATCAATGGAATTATGCATGTTTGGATATTTTTAGATGACTGCTTTAGTAATAGTACTCAGTATTTTATTGCAAAAACAGAGACATTTTTTAAACTCTTGAAATAATAGAACTAATAATAATAATAGAATTATTATTGTTATTTTACTGAACAAGGTTAGGAACAAAAACTGCTTGCATATGTCATCCTTGTCTTGAAATACAGTATGCATACATTAAAAATGATACACATCAGCACATCAAAGACAATTTTATATGTACATATACCCACATATGTATTAATGTATATTTGGAGTACACCTGCACACACACCCATACTCCCATCATATGCTGTGGTAAGAATTATATAGTAAATTGCTGAAGTTCATGATAACATGGAGCCAGGCAAGGCATGGTATTTATCATATATTTTCAACTGCTTCACCTTCACTTTGCCCACATGGCTTGTAACTAAAAAAGTAGTTATCCATGATGTGTCTAAATGCAAGGTTAAAGCTTTTCAGTCACTTCAGACATTCTTCATTTTAGAAAAGTGAAATGACAAAGTAAATATTTCTTTTCTTCTTGAATACAAAATTTTTTGTTAAATTACAGAGACATGAGCCCTAGGATGGATAGAAATTAATCCTGAACCCATGGCAGGTTTAAAATGGAATATATTACTGTTATTGTTTTCATCTTCTGATATATTTCTAATCTACTAGTCCTGTGCTATAATAACTTCTGAAAATAAAATAATAACCCAATAGAACCTTTATTTGGCCAATATTAGACTATTTTTCCATAGATAACTTAATGACAACAGGGAAGAATTTGGCTTAGTATTTCAAGGCAGTTCTTTCAGGTTTATCAAAAGCAGAGTAGTCTGACAGTTACCAGACTAAACAGAGACAAGTGTATATTTGTTATTTAGTGGCCAGTGTTGATATATAGACATCAGAAGCATGATTCTACTCTCATCTCGGCTTTACTAGGTTGGACAGCAATTCATGAAGCTTCCAAGAGAGGATTTACTGAGGTGATTTTAGAGTTACTAAAAGCTGGTGCTGATGTTAATAGCAAAGGCCCAGATGGAATTTTGCCAATACATGATGCTGTTTCTGGCAACTATTTCAAGGTACAGTTCCCTTAAGTTAGCTTTTCTGATTCTGGTTTTCGGTTACGAGAATGAAAATACTATGATTTTGAATGCAAACCATAGTAATGGTTTAAATAATACCATCCAAAATTATTAATAGCATTTTTAAAGACATACATAGACTTACATTTAAGAAAAAAAACTAACCTGTTAGAACTGGAGTTCAGTATTTTTATGCAAAAACACTGAGAATTAAAGGTGTATAAATAATTCATTTTTCAGTTCAGTCTCCCCTCTTTGACTTCCTCAAATTGTTGGGGTTTTCTCACTGAACCTCCCTGCAATGAGTTTGGGTTGAATGAAACATTTAGTTTCCAGATGTTGTTATTAAAATTAGCTGAGTTCACTGTCACCTTGACGTCATTCGAAAATGAAAAATCAAAGCATTTTGTTTTGAAAATGCTTAAACAAAATGATTTGACATTTCCATTTTTTTTCTTTTTTTCCCAGGCAATACTAGTTGCCAAGTTTGACCCCAATTTACAGCTGATTTTTATCACCCCAAAACTGTACAGTATTTCTCAGCAAATATTTATCTGAAAAAAATGTGCCCAACAGTAATGACAATAATGTCATCTAAATCAGAGCAGTGAGCTGCATTCCTTCTATTGTTTTAAGCACTATTGAAAGTAATTTTAAGAATCAAGTTCTTATCTAGGCTTGGCACGTATATGTCCCATTGAAATGAGTGGGAATTGAAAGCATGCATTTGAAAACAAAATTTTGTCCTGAGACGGCTCAGAACCTTGTAGATCTGAAAGTCAGGTCAATAAATGAAGAAATAATTGGTCTAACTTTTTCCCCCTTCCCAGAGTACATTCCACTGAGGTGAATGAGTTTATACTAGTCTAAAAAAGATATAAATCAATAGAGAATCAGTCCCAATGTTTTTAAAATACTTTTATTTATCATTTTGAAGCTTATTATGTTCCTTCCTCAATGATTATTGATCATAAGGTCAGCTTTATACATTCATGTTAAAAATATTTTAATTCATCCTGAAAGAAATGTTTTAATTAAACTATGTGAGAGATTGTGCCATCACCTGAGTAATAAGACAAAGGGAAAGCATTTTAGAAATTCTTACGTTGGGCAGGATGGAGATGCATCAAGCAGCAGACACCTGGCATTTGGCTGCCACTGGTTGTTTAAAAAGACCAGTAGTCAGAAAGTAATTTTGGGCACGATTCTTATGAACAGGCAATACTACAGAGGGATGTTTTACTTGTGGTCAGGTAAGTGTGTCTTACTTCTGCAGTTTGGTGATTTTTGGGGGGGTTTTTGCCACATTTGCTTTGGTTCAGCAACAGAATATAAGGTAATAAAGGAGAATTATTACTATGGAAAAACAACACGCTGTATCATTTTTCCCCTACATTAAAAGTTGCTGAAGGACCAGAGATCCTTAATTTAAATTTCCAGAATTTGTGAGACAGCCTGCCATCAGAGAGGGAGGGAAGGGGAAGGAGCA